GGGTGGGGTGGCTCCGCGGCGGGGCGGCTGGACGCGCGCCGCGTTGCGGTACGAGATGCTCCCCTTGTAGCTGACCCGGAGCACGGCGCGCTGCTGGATCAGTTTCTCGAGCTCCGCGCGCGTGCGCTCCGGCTCCGGGCCGTGCCGCCGCCGCACCATCCGGCAGATGCGCTCCAGGTCCGGCCGCGCCTTGCGCGAGCGCAGCGAGTCGATGGTGTCCAGAATCCACTCTTGGTAGTGCGGGGAAGCGGCGGACGACGAGGCGGCGGCCGCCGTGGTGGCGGCCGCCGCCGTCTCCGGCGGGGGTAGGGCCGGGGGCCCCGCCATGCCTCCCGCCCGGCCCGGCTGCACGGTGCGCGCTGCCTCCCTCCCAGCGCGGCGCCCCCTCCCCGCTCCCCTCCCTCCGCCGCTGCCCGCCTCCTCCGCCTCCCCCCGGGGGGCGCAGCGCCTCGGCGGAGCGGCGGCGGCCCGGCGGTTTCGGCCCCAAAAAAGATAAGAAAAAAAAAAGCAAAAAAATAAGGGCGCGCGAGAGAGACAGAAAAAAAAATAGTGAGAGAGAAAGAAAAGAGGAAAAAAATATGCACACACTCACTCACTCGCACGCACGCACACAACAGCCCCGCTTCTGCTGGGCGCGCGCGGGGCCGGGGATGCGAGGAGGGAGGAGGGGAGCGCGGCGCGCCCGGCCCCTCCCCGCCGCCGCCGCCGCACGCGCGCCCTGCGCCCGGGACACTCCGGCCCCCCTTCCTGCTCGCCCTCCCCCGCTGCCCGCCTTCCTCGCTCCCTCCCACCCCCACGCGCCCGCTTTTAAGGTGGAGCCCGGGCCCCCGCCCGCCCCGTGTACCCGTCGCTCTAGCTCACTCCGGCTCGCTCCGGCCCCCCCTTACAACTCCCGCGCGCTTTTTAAGGAGGCGCCGCGGAGTTGGCGCCGGAGCGGGGGCGGGGAGCGCGGCGGGCGGGGGAGGGGGAGGGGAACCCAGGGGGGAGGGGACAGGGGCGGGCGGGGCGCGCGGGCGGCGTTCGGCCGCCCTCCAGCCATTGGGCGCGGGACCCAGACGTCCTCGGCGCCCAGCCCCCTCTCCACGCCTCTCCGCGCGCAGCGCTCTCGGGACCGCACTTACCGGGAACTAGCCGCGGCGCGGCCCGACGCGCCTCGCTCCTGGGGAGCCGCGGAGACCTCATCAGCGGCCCTGCCGCGCCTACATGAGGGCTTGGGGGGCGCGCGGGGCTCCCCTTTTCTCTTTCTACCCTGCTAATCCTGCTGCTGTTTGGTGGAACCGGTCCGAGCGGCCGTCTCGGTCCGGGACTAGACCGAAGTAGGGGTGGGAGCAGATTTGAGGGCCCCGAACTCAGGGTCAAAGGACAGTTTGCCCACCCCACCCCTCCTTTCTCTGGCGGGGCGGAGGAAGTACAGGAATTCCAGCTAAACCCGGTTTCTCCAAGGTCCCGAGGCCGTGGTCTCCATAGCCTGGACATTGAGGTCCGAAATTCCCTTTCCAACACCCCGAGGGTGTGATCGAAGGCGGGAATACCAGCGACACTTTTATTTTAAAACAAAACTTTATTGGTAATAGTTTTCAAATATGTTTACAACAGCACACTGTTCAAGAGGAAGTCTCATCCTTCGAAGCACACAGGTTGAATGGCCCCCCTCGCCCACTCGGGGCCCCCACCCAGGCCTGAGAGCTCCTCCTTTTTGGGAGAAGTTACGAGAGGGATAAACACAGGGATAAATGGGGTAATTTCCCCAGCAGCTCCCCACGTTTCTATTGAGAGAAAAAGCACAATCAGACTTGGGGGTGCAGTGAGTGGGGACGCACAGCGGCAAGAGGTGGTGGACAGCTGACAGCTAAGCTAGAAGAGAAGAGCCCAGGATGGGGAGGGGCTTCTTAAGGGGGCTGATGCACAGAACAATTGGCATGAGACCGCTGGAAAGGGGGCCGGGAGGCTAGCAGCTCAGGGCAAGGTTCCAAGCCCAGTTCCTTCCTTGACAGAGTCAGTTGGCTACCCGGGTCTCATCAGAATGGATTTGGGGGGGGGTGAGGCGTGTGGGAGGGGTGGGGCAATTTGGAGGGTGGGAGGCACTGGTGGAACTTAATTTAAATGAGAAAAAAAAACCCACTGGCAAGCAGCCCTCAGTACAGGTCCTAAAATCTCCCTTTCCAGGCTGCATGGAGGGAAGGTTGGCTTTACTGTTCACCCTTAGTATCCAGTGCTGGGATAGGGGTGGAGGCTGAATTTGGGCCCCTCTTTCCGTACCCTGCCCCTGGACACACCAGCAACATTGGGTATGACTGGAGCTAAGAAATTCATTGAAAACAGGCAGGGAAGGGTAGGGGAGAAGGGAGAGGGGGAAGCAGCTGATGTTGCCCCTTCCCCAGGATCTGGCTTTCCTGTTCTCCTTAACCCTGGGGGTGTGGAGTGGATGTTAAATTAGATGCATGGAACTCTAGGGCCCTCTGGCTGTTCGATCCAACCCCCCCCCCCCAACCGGAAAAAAAATAGAAAGAAAAAGAAAAAAAATGAAAGAAAACCCATGGGGCACAAGCACACCCCTAAAACTCAGTAAACTCCTTGCCACATTTCTCATTGATGGAGACCCGGATCTCTTCCTCCTCATAGTCGTCAAAGTTACTCGTGTCCCCAGGGCCTTTAAACTTTGGTATGAAGGGAGCTTCCACCTGGATAGGGATCAAGAACCACCCAGAGTGCATTAGCTGACCTTACCATTACAATAAAAATGAATGGCTTAATATTCAGACGACACTTGCTGTGACCCATGCCTGAGCTCAACATTAAGGTACAGTGTCTTCTCTGCAACCCAACTCACCAAATGGAAGGAAGTCACTTCCCGGAGAACAGACTGCCTAAGGCCACAAAGTGGCCAGAAGAGCCCAGCATCCCCCATGTATAGTCCCTCACTAGCCAGGAAGCCTTCTGTTGTTTAGTCCTGAACTTAACGTGCTGTTTATATTATCCTATCCGTAATTCCTTGCCTTTCCAACTTTGGGCATGGGAAAAAGAAGCCCACCTTTCTCTGATAGATGGCAATCCAGTCAGTCGTAGCAAACCACTTGTGGTTCTTGATGTCATTGACCCCGTTCTTGAGGTTCCCAAAGCGCTTGGTGAGATCCACCTGCAGCAGGTTCCGCAGTAGGTCCTTCAAGTCAGAGCTGAAGTGGGACGGGAACCGGACCTGGAAGGGGTGCAGACAGAGTGGGGTGCTGCGAATACACTTTGGGGTCCAGAATGCCACCTTTTCCATTTTGGACACAATTCCCACCCCCTCCTCTGACACACCCCAGACAAGGTTTCTGTGTGTAGCCCTGGCTGTCCTGAAACTCTGTAGACCAGGCTGTCTTCAAACTCAGAGATCCACCTGTCCTCCCAATTTCTGGGATTTAATATGTACACCACCATACTGGGTGCGATGAGATCTTGACGTGTAGCTCAAACTGGCCTCAAACACGATCCTGTCTCCTAGCCTCCTGAGTGCAAGAGCTATAGGTATGTACCTCTACACTCGGGCCGACTGGTACCTGTTCTAATAGTGTTACAGGGAGAGTCTGTTAAGATGGCTTGTGGGGTCGGGCAGTGGTGGCCCATGTCTTTAATCCCAGCACTCAGGAGACCAAGGCAGGTGGATCTCTGTGATGTGAGTTTAAGGGCAGCTTGGTTTAGATGGCAAGACCAGCCAAGGCTACATAATAAGACCTTGTCTCAAAAACAAACAAAACAAAACAAACCCAAAAACTCATTGCTGGGCCAATGGACGACTCTGTGTTTGCAAAGGTCCTGGGTTTCGTTCCCAGTACCTACATGTTGGCCTATAACCACCTGTAACTCCATTCCTAGGGGATCTAATGCCTTTGGCCTCCAAGGGTACTATACTCATCTGTACACACATACATACAGACATACAAATATTTACATAGTTAAAAAAATAAAGTAGGTAAAATAATAAACAGAGATGGCTTGTTGGAGCTAGCACCACAGCTCTGGGGCAGGTCAGGAGCCCAGCATACACAGGGGTCTGCCTTTAGGCCCCAGTGGCCATGCAAACAAAAAAACATGATGAGTGCCCCCTTGTGTTTGCTGGTTGGGAATTCTGGGTAAGGCCTGAGAATCTACTACCTCAAGGTTGCAGAGAACAGAACTGTAGGAAGGTTCTCAGGTCTGCAGACTTGTAATGTACCCTGAGCTGAGGTTCTTCCGGTGGCTCCTCTGAGAGGGTCTGAGGGCTTCTGAAATACGAATAGTTCTTGAGTCTGGATAAAATGGCTTGTATGGTTCTTCTAGTCATGCACCTCCAGAGGCTCTTACACATGCCTGTACACAGCCTTTGGATTTACACCAATAAGAACTAGCTTCTAGGAGCCAGAGGTGGTGACAAAAACCTGTCACTCCCACACTTGGAAGGCTAATGCAGCAAGGTTGAGAGCCAGGGCTACATATTGAGACCCTGCTGTAAATGAATCAACCAGTCAAACAAACAAACAAAACCCACAAAAGGGCTAGTGAAATGGCTCAGGAGGGAAAGGCACCGACGCTACGCCTAACAATCTAAGTCAGCTACCCACGTCCACAGGCGGGGAGAGCACTGCCTCCTAAGTGCTGTCCTTGACTCACAGACACAAGGAAGAGATGTAAAAAAACTGAAGGGAACAACAGCCCAAGGTGAGGAAGAAAAGAAAGGAAGGAAGAAATAAAGAAAAGGAACAAAGGATAGCAAGAAAAGCAAAAGGAAGGAAAGAAACAAAGACAAAACCCAACTAGTCCCTGCTAAGCCTTCCCCACGCTGTGTGACCTTGGCCAACGCCCTTAACCTCTCCAGGTCTGTACTGGCCTCAACGACTTGGGGCAGATATCCCAGGGTTCTGTGTGACAAGATAACAGTCAGGGCCCGTGGGAACTGTAAATTGCTACAAAGAAGGAGATTACAGTCAGCCATGTGTGGTGCACGCCTGTCCACCCAGGACTTGGGAGGCAGTGGCAGGACCCAGAGTTCAAGGGTAACCTTGACTATGTATGGAAACGGGAGTCCAACCTGAGACTCTTTTCAATACAACAACAAAATGCCCTCCCTTCTTCCTCAGAATCTTCTACGGAGTTCTTCGTACCCTGTTGGCCACCATCTTGGACATTTCAATTTTTCATTTTGTGTTTTTTTTTCTAAGTGATATTCTGTAACAGTTTGCAAAATCTGTTTCCGTAACCTTCCAACAATCCTCCTGCCTCAGTCTTTTGAATACTAGGGGGAGAGCACTAAGGCTCATTTAATCCCAGCAGAGACAAAGGCAGGCCGACCATTGTGAGTTAGCCTGGTA